AGCCTATGGGTATTCCCTTTTCCCTAACTATTTGTTTTTTTTTTTTTTTTTTTTTTTGAGAGGGATCCTCATTCTGTTGCCCAGGCTGCAGTACAGTGGTGTGATCTTGGCTCACTGCAACCTCCGCCTCCCAGGTTCAAACAACTCTCCTGCCTCAGCCTCCTGAGTAGCTGGGACTACAGGCATACACCACCAGGCCCGGATAACTTTTGTATTTTTTAGTAGAGACAAGGCTTCACCATGTTGATCAGGCTGGTCTCGAGCTCCTGATCTCAAGTGATCCACTCACCTTGGCCTCCCAAAGTGCTGGGATTACATTCGTGAGCCTTGTATTCTCCTTTTGTCCTTGACCTCTAGTCATTCTTTTTATTTACTGGTTCTACCATTTTATTAATTATGTTTTTATAATTAATACTAAGAGAAATAACCTTAGTTAACTGAGAGTTTGAGTATTAGAGAATCATATTTATACAATAATGCATATTAAATTGGCAAGCACCTGTTTTCCTCTGATTAATATTAATTTATACCACTTTTTATTTGATTATAAAAGTATATGTGTTGAGTTTTTTGGTATTTAAAAAGCCATACTTTACCACATGGAGTTAACATCTGTTAGCATTCTGATATATTTCCTTATGGTCATATGTGAGTATGTATGAGGGTTTGTCCATCATTTTAAGGCAATCACTTTGTGCCTAGCAATGTTACAGATTTTAACTAGTTTAATCCTTATAGCAATCCCTTAAGGTAGGTACCATTATTATACCTATTTCAATGATGAAGAAATTGAGGCACACATTCACACAGCTAGTAGATGAGAGAGCCAGGATTCAAACCCAAGAAGTTGGCCCCAGAGTTTGTGTTTTTAAGCATCACACTGTAATTTTACTTAATTTATGTATTTTATAGAGAGGAGGTAATTCTGTATGATCTCCATTCTTCTGCCACATTCTTTCATTGCCATTTTCTGATCATTTCCTTTCTTTTCCATTTTCCATGGGTTAATGAAAAGATCCACGCTCACAAATACTTTAAAGTATTTGAGTAGATGCTGTCATGTGTGTCTTCAGTTGGCTGTTGTCTTTTGAACAAAATTTCCTGGAAGGTGTTGGTCCTGTGTTTTTGTCATACATTGATAATAGATCAAGAAGTATCTTATTTTCTGAACTGGCTCTAACTTTGTTATCCGCCTGCAGTCTAGTTACTTGGACACAGTTTCACAATGCTTTGGAGTTGCCAAGAAAAAGGGATAAGTTAAAGCAGTTTATCTAAAGGAGTGGGATCGTGGCTTTTAGGAACGGCTCTAGAAAAATGATAAAGGCTACAGATTTTGTCTTCTGCATCTTTCCAAATCTCTGGTCTACTTAACTTGCCTTGGTGACAGCCATTCTATTTGATTTAATTGAGATTAAATGTGATAACATACTCCTAAGCTACTCATAAACCATAAATTAAAAAATAGTACTATTATGAATATTAATTACTCCTCTGACACCAGGAATATTCGTTCATATTTTCTTCTCTCTGACTCCCCCTCTGACATATTTTCTTCTCTCTGACTCCCCCTCTGAATTCCTATTCATTCATATTTTCTTCTCTCTGACTCCCCCTCTCAATTCCCATGTCTTACCCATTAAAACCTATTTTCAGAAAATGATATACTCGTTTAACCCAGGTGATAGGTAAAGTTTAATGTGCACTTCTCCTGGGTTATTTGCATTTTATTAGTGTGAAAATCTGTAAGCCTGAGGTGGTAGAACATCAGCCGTAAGTTCTGAGCTGTGAGGAAGGAACTTTGAGGGGCCAAGGGGAACATTCTCACACCTTTCAAACCATATCACATCAGTGCCCACTTCCAGAAAGGTCAGGCCTGTTAGACACAGGCATTCATAAAGAGACTGATCTACCTGCGTGAATGGAGCCAGCCCCGGAAGTCATCAATCTCTTGGATGCCCATGTGGAATATCAATATATGCTTAAAAGCTTTGCTTGCAGGTATAAAGAAAATACCAACTTAGTTTAAGGGATATTTAAGAAATAGAACGGTGAGACTAAGGATGGATTGTTTCTTTACATTGTCCTTTTTAAAATTACAAAGGTACTCTATACACATCAAGAAAAATTTCGAAAGCACACAGTACAAACAACAAAAGAAAAAATATCCACAATCCAATGACTCAGAGATAATCACTAATATAAATTTGGTTTATACGCTTTCTGTCTTTCTCTTGTGGGGGGTGTGTGTGTGTGTGTGTGTGTGTGTGTGTGTGTGTGTCAAGGTTCTATCTTATTTTTTTATTTTTTGAACTATTTGTTTTTTGAGACAGAGTGCAGTCTCAGCTCACTGCAACCTCCCCCTCCTGGGTTCTAGTGATTCCCATGACTCAGTCTCCCGAGTAGCTGGGATTACAGGAATATGCAACCACGCTTGGCTAGTTTTTTGTATTTTTAGTAGAAATGGGGCTTCACTATGTTGACCAGGCTGGTCTCAAACTTGTGGCCTCAAGTATTCCGCCCACTGTGGCCTCCCAAAGTGTTGGGATTACAGGCATGAGCCACCACGCCCGGCCTCTCTCTTTTCTTTTAAACCATGCACAGATAAAAACATGCTACCATTTTATGGCCTGCTATTTTCCCTTAAAACTATCTTTACAATATTTTCATGTGTTTAAATATTCTTCTACAGAGTGATTTTTCTAATGACTGACTAATACTCTCTTCTGTGTCTATACCAAATTTACCAACACAATTCTAAATTGCTCAATATTAAGATTATTTCACAATTTTTATTATATCGAGCATTATGGCTAATATCCTTTTTATACCTGTGCAAATATCTCAGATTCTTTCTACAGGATAAGTGCCTAAGGTGGAATTGTTGTCTTAAAGAATGTTTACATTCGTAAGCCTTTTCAAGTGTATTGCCAGACTTACCTCTAGAAAATTGCACCAGAAATTGGGTGTGCCATCCAAACCATATTTGAGCCAGGCATGGTGTGGCTCATGCCTATAATCCCAATTCTTTGGGAAACTGAGGCAGGAGGATCACTTGAACCCAGGAGGTCAAGACTGCAGTGATCCATAATCACGCCCCTGCACTGCAATCTGGATGACAGAGCAAGACCCTGACCCTAAATTAAAAAAAAAATAAATCACCATATTTTAAACAGGACATCTCTGAAGTCACATATTTGCTACTGTAAAAGCAGCTTCCCCTACCAATGAATAAAAATATGTTTTAAATATTCCTCTAAGTTCATATTAAATGAATTTGAATTAATATATATATTTTAGATAGGCCTGAGTTGATACATGTTTAGTAATGTGCTTTCAGGTTATTGTGAAT